CGGGCGCAACACAGCTCGTAGGAGAGGAGGATGTCACGCGCGCCCAATGAGAAATGGCGCTGCGTTGTGACGTAGGCCCGCGCAGCGTAGTGTGCCCAGACATGCCAGCGCGGGAAGGAGACGACGGTTGACTGGCCCAGACCAAGAGGCGCCCTTGCAGCATCTTGGCGGATGCCGGTGCTTATGCGTGCCCGGGCTACGCTGTCGGCGCGCGCGTGGCAGCTGGGAAACGAGGCACCAGGTAGGAGGGCGCTCTCGATTCTCACAACCTGTAGATTGCTAAAATTCAAATACTGTATAAACTTGATTTGATGCACGCTAATTTCATTTGCAAATACAGCTGCTACATCAAACCGTCGTATTTACATTTCTTCATGAATGTTGTATCAAATCAGCTGTACTAGATACATACCTGCCAACATCGCAGCATCAAAATTCGGGAGACCGCAGCGGGGGGGGGGGGGGGGGGATTGCATAGCGGAAGTTACTGGAGACTGACATCAGGGAGGGGTAGGGATGTTTATTTTGAGCTGCTGATTGAACCAAACTTCTTTACTTGTGAAGGCACCTGGCAGTTGCGGACTTCGCAAGCCTCAAAAAGTTGTCAGAATACACCTGCTCAAAACAACGTCCAGTTTGGTGACTCTTCACCATGAGGAGGTCACCTGGAGTCTTGTTTGAAAGCGAAGACCGCAATTCAGTTCTCGTCTTCTTAACCATGCTAAATATCCTCTCACATTCAGCATTGCTGTGAGGAATGGCAAGCAGCTTCAGCATCACCTTTGACGCTCTACCAAATTTCACTTCCCCATCAACGCTAGTGATTCTTCCCACTTCTGACCACTGAACATCAATCCTCTCTTCACTTAGAATGTCCTCAGAAATGCGGTGTGCCTGCATTTCTGCAAATTCCACTTCAAGAGCATCGAAGGCTTCTACTCTTGACCCCTGGGACAGAATTTGCGGGAAGGACTCAACGAAGAAGCGAAGCCTTGTAAAAGATGCGTCGTTCGAAAACTTCAAATTAGCGACTTCCGCTTTATTCAAGGTTTCATTTTTTAGTGGAAATTTGTGCCGTATATGTAGCCACATGTGACAGTAAAGTACTTCCGAACAGTGGAAAAAAACTCCTGCTTCTCACTGCCACGCAGTCCTTCCACAACAGACAATGTGCGGCTCCTGAGGACAAGATCTTCGTTGGCTTTTTGGTTCTTTAGATCTTGATAAGGAACCTCCAGTGGCGAAGAGCAGGCCTTAATGGCAGCGGGATTGACAAACCTAGCCAAAAGGTCCCTTAGGAACTGCATCAAGAGGGACTGGAGCAGATGAATTTGAGGTGCCTGTGACTGAAGTTGGGCGGTGACTTTGTCAAACACAGGGATGACACTCTTGAAGAAAAGTCCATAAGCGAAGTTTACATCAGAGGTCAGGAAGTACAAAAGCCGTTCCTCACGGGTCAAACTGGCATGTCCGGTACTTTCAGATGAAAGCTTCACTTTTTTTGCCATGGTTGCATCAGTCTTGCCTCTTGGCTCTTTTCTTTTTTGGTCATCTCGCTGGACTTCATTGCGCACATCTGCCGAAGCTGCAGCTGTCTTGGGGATCTGGTACGACCCCAGAAAGCTTGGGCGCTGCTGGCTTTTCGGCTTTGTCTCATTCAAAAAGAAGCTGACCAAGGGCTGCCACTGCTCCAGCGATCTGGTGAGACACCTTCCAAGCGATAGCCACCGCGTTGCCACGTGTTTCAAAATCTTCCGCACCTCCGTGTTGTGCATCCCTTGAAATTCAACAAGCCTGTCTTTCCGCTTTGTGCTCATCTCAAGGTAGTAGATGTCCACGAGCACCTCGTCGAATTTAGCAGGTAAGCATGCGGCTCCTTTCTCGGCCGCAAGATTTATTAGGTGGGACGGGCAGCCAACGACTACCAAATTATCTTGGGCTTCTTTTAGCACAGCTGTTACGCCACTTTTTTTTTTTGCAGATCATCACATTGGCATTGTCGGCAGAAAATGCGATGCAGTTCTCGATTCGTATACCACGCGATTTGAGTGCGTCCTGAAAGAGGTTTCCGATATTTCGTCCGGTGGCCTCTCCATGGAGTTTCTGCAAACAAAGCAGTCGGCTTTCCACGTTTCGCGATTCCTCGACGTAGTACGTTGCCACGATTGGGTACATTTGCGACCCGCTGTCGTTGCTTCCATCTACTGCGATTGCGAAAGCACGGCGTTTCAGAGCCTCCACCATTGTGTTTCCGGTATGTGCAGCCATTTCTTCGACGATGGCAGTGGTTTTCGTACGTCGCACCCGTACCGCTTCGCGTCCTCGCACTACGGGAACATTTTCCGGAAGAACGGCCCTGCGTGATCACTAACGCTTAGCGGCCAGTTGTGTTCCACAAGGAATCCTGTGAATAGACATTCTGCGCGGATCGCACTGTCTTCGCAGCTCTTTTGGAAAAAGCTACCGATGTTGCCTTGCCCTTCCGCAGCACGAACGTAGTTCTGATGCTTCTGTGAAGCGATATGCACCTTTATATCGGCCTTCCCGCCGTGCGACACGCTCACATCACAGGCGCACGTGGTACAGAATCCGTACTTGTCACCTTTCCGGCGAAGTCACAAAGCACGGAAACTCAGCTGTGTTTGAGTCCAGAAACACTGGCAAGTACTTTTCTTTGATTTTGATGCCACCATCGACCTTCTAACTGAACTCTGGAAACACGCAACCCCCCCAACCACGGCAGACGGCGTAGGCGTAGCATACAAAATGCGGGGGCCAAGACGGAGAAGAAGTTCTGGCTAGGCACAACGGAAGCAAGTGAACTGAACAGTGGCCGGAGCGACAAGAATGCGACACGCGGCGCTGTCGGCGCTGTTTCTCCGAAGCACGCCGATATGGAGAGTGCAAAGCACATTGGGGTCCACATACCGCCAGTCTACCGGCCACCCCTCCTTTAAAAAATAGAATGTGCTCGACAGTCTCGCCATCTCGTTATCGGAGCGCTCGTGAACATACAGCCCCGCAATCTTTTTCCTTTGAGACTACCTTTTTCCTCGGCTTCTTTCGGTACGGCGGCGAGCGCTTCTCGGGGCCAGCCTTCGTCAAGATGCGCAGTGCCGAGAATGTACTCAGCTGGTACTCTACAATATGGTTACAATGAAATAGAGGTGTGGTGGCGAGTGCTCTTCCGCAGCACCGCCACTGCCGCAGCAGAAAAGGGTGACGTACGCGCATGATCTTAAAAAGAGAGCAAAAAAAAAAAAAGCCTCTCCTGTGGTGGCCAATTTTCAAGAGATTCGAGATGACATTCGTACAATCGGGAGATTAGGCCCAAATTCGGGAGTTTCCCGGAAAATTCGGGAGTTGGCAGGTATGTAGATATATGGTGGGTAGACAACCTCTTACTGATTTATGCACAGCCGTGAGCACCTTTAACTTGAATGCTCCGACACGTTGCCTCGGCTCACTTGGACTGAGGTCAGCGCCACTAAGCATTCAAAATGATATGCTTACTGCAGTTAAAGATATATGTAGCGCGCTTCGGTTTCTCTGCCTGACTGGCAAGTTGATTCATCAACTTCGCATCCCGTTTTCGCCACGATTCGCTCGTGGCTACGTTATCGCACGTGCCCATGGCGTTCGTTGTTGAATGCTTATCTCGACAATGAATTTTTGTGTGCTACAGCTTACACACCTTACGAGTTTGAAATTGCGGAAAGGAATTGTATAAACAGCATAACAAATGCACGTTCATGGAATTTGTAAAAGTTGCACAATAAATAAATCTGGAATGCGTTGGCATTGTTCTTGATCTGATTCAATAATTTTCAGACAGTGTCGACTGAACTATCCTCGCAATTTAGAGTGTGCCTTTCTGTTCGGTTCGCGCTGCACGGAAGATGTCATATGGAGCGCAATGTTTGTGCGTGTTCTTAGCAAGACAGATGCGTGGATACAACGCAAGCAGAACAATTTACATGCGTAGCTATTGCAGGAAAGCTTAAACTGCCATCTTATCTTATAATCAAATCATGGTTCTGGGACGCTAAGCCTCACATATGTGTTGGACCCGCACAAACGTCGTGCTCCAAGACATTTTTCGTGCAATGCGAATCGAGCAGGAAGGCAAACTAATTGCGAGAACAGTTTGATTTACACTGTCTGAAAATTATTGAATCAGAGCATGAACGAGGCCACTGCATTTCAGATTTATTGTGCAACTTTTACAAGCGTCTTCAATGTGCGTTTCATCTACTTTTTTTTATGTCATTCCTTTTGAAAGCGGCTGCGAATTCAAACACTAAAGGTGCGTGAGCTGCAATACGCAATGGTTCATAGTCGATGTAAGTATACGACAACGAACGCCATGGGAGCGCGTGATAATGTGGCCACGAGCGAAACATGGCGAAAACAGTATGCGAAGTGAGTGCATTCTACCCGCCGGTCAGGCAGACTGGAAAAAGAAATTTACTAGTGAAACAGACGCGCGCTACATCTATCCTTAACTGCAGCAAGCATATCATTTTCAACGCTTGGTGGCGCTGACCTCAGTTCAAGCAAGCCGAGGCCACGCGCCGGAGGGTTCAAGATAAAGGTGCTGACAGTTGTACACCCTCGTAACCACAATGTAGGCACTGTGTTTCACACAAACTTCACCCAAGAAAACATTGTGAGCTGTATGCTTAGAAAATTGCACCGCTGCAATATGTTTAGTTTAGATTTAGGCTTTTTTTTATTGTAAGCATTTACTTAAGGCCAAAGGTATGAAATAACAGTTTCATCTCATGTGCTTTGATAACTGCCATCAATCATGTACACCATTCCAATCGTGTCCATGACAGTGAAATCAACAAAGAGGAGCAACTGCCTATATAGTGAAGTCATTCTATTACTTGGAAAGGTGTCACAGTTTTTCACCAGAGATACCAATCGACTGCTGAATTTTGCCTACGCCCACAGCAGTTGAACACATTCGCCAACACGAAGAATATGGGGCTCACTTTAGCCAGGTTGATGTAGAATGGCTCATAGGAAATGCCATGTTCAAGGGATGCTGATTCTGTGCGAATATTCCATATCTGCAAAGAGAATAGAAATAACTTGCACTTGTCAGGATCAGTTTACAACAAAAAGGTTGCACATGGGGCGCCAGTCTGCAGCACATTCCTATGGCAAGTTCAGCAGTTCCTTGAAAAGCATCATGCTTGCAGCACTCACAGTTGCATTCCAACAGATACTGTAGCCAGCACTCCCCTGGTATCAATCAGTAGACTACAACTTTCCTGCTCTTTCGTCGGCTTGCAAGGCTTCTGTACCTGTCCTTTCGCTCACTCCCTTTAAGCTCAAGAGCTGCTTTTGCTGCACCTGTTTTTACTGGTCAATAAGAGCCCTGCCCTCTCCAGATGCCGTTTCTCATCTCTGCAATTGCGCACAATCACGTCTTGCAGAGTATTGGTCACTTACATTGCTGGAACATTTGCGGTGTGCAGCATGAAAGATACTTTCATGAATTATTGAGTATTTTACATCATATTAAACTTTGTTTATATCATGATAATTTTGGTTTGTTGAAAAAAAAACTGAATAATAAGGGCAGCGAAAATCTCCAATAGTGTCGCAAAAGAATGGCTAGGTTCTGCTCAGTAAGAACAATTAAAATGGGACACTTTAGAGACATGCTGAAGCGATGCTTTCAATGCGTTCATTTGGGCAGCAGGACAGTTATCATCTAATTAGCTGTCTGCGCCACATGTCGTAACGAAGCAAGAACTTGAAATAGCCTTCTCCTGCATCTTGGCAGATCACATGACCAGTAAGAGCAGATCCAATTTCGGCCTTTTTTTTTTTCATTATGGGTGTCTTGAACAGAGAGAAATAGATGTACACATTTCTACTACTGCCCTACAAAGGGACAACTTCCCACATCACATGATGTGAGCAACATTATAGTAGAATTAGGTTCCCATAGAATGTGCGCAAAAGTGAAACATTGAAAAGTACTCTGGATAGCAGCCATGCACAAAGCTTGTTCGGCCCACCACAACTCACCCGTTGTAGCTCATCCCGTTTGGCTCGCCGCCCATCCTGCGAGTGAATTCAGGGCTTTCTGGACACTGCGTATCGCCAGTCGATAGCAGTTGCGCCGCCTTCCATAGAAGTTCTGTAGCAGGAAAGGCCACACAGGTAAGCACAGACTCACTATTTAAAATGACTACCCCGCATGCTCCCAAAATTACCTGGCACTTGCCAAAGGCATATGGCCAGTGCATTCAAATGTTTGCTTGCACTGCTGCATGACATCTGTAGCGATTGTTGCTGTTCACACAGAGGCACAGATTTTCAGTATCACGATACCGAAAACTTCAAACAACCACACAGCTCCTCTCCGACCTCATCTTTAATTCCAGTTCACCAAAACGGCATGAAAAATTTTAATCCAGAGCTTCTTGTTGTAAAAGCAAGGCAACACCTCAAAAGCTGTCATTTTTGAGCACATCCCCAGCTCCAAGAACAATCTAAAATATAGTAATTTAATCTCTTGTTAAAACTGAACTTTATGCCGATTCCCCCATACTTGGACATCTGAATCAGCTCATGCTGGCAAATCATTTCTAAGTTGTGCAAGTAGAATCTGCAGAGCTCGCACAACAATCTTCCAGTGATCAGTTGGGTTATATGTGACAGACAAATGACTGGATTGTATCTTAGTCAATTGTGTCATTAACGAGACAAGCTTTAAAGGGACAGATATCGCTCGGAACACAAATTGAGATAACTCCACTAATGGTCAGATTGTCTACTGCATTATCTATAAAGAACCTGGTTATCCTCGTTAAATGTAGATTTATATTCCTATTTTTTACTCAAAATTATTTTCGACACCTTTTAGGAAAAAAACAGTGAAGATGCACTTGTTTGCAACCACAGGACCTATATATGGTCCATGCTATACATTGCGTCAGTTATAGCATTGAAAGGAAGCCCACTTTTTATTAATATAATCTTTTCTAACTTGAAATGTGCTGAGCAGAACAATGACTTCATCTTCACTTGAAGTGTGATCAAATGCTCATGAGCGGCAGCATGAATGTTTTCAGCTGAGGGCGTCAGCCGACGAAGTATGAAGAGCGCGTCGCGACCTCCACGCTTCGCACCAGCTGACCGCAGAGGCCACCAGCGCCTGGCTACTTAAGTAGTCCCCCAGCGCCTCGCAGCCTTCCCGATTCGCACCAGCTGACTGCAGAGGCCACCAGTGCCTGGCTACTCAGGTGGTCCCCTACAGGCATACAATTCTGAAGGTCTTATGCTTGGTGGTGTTTACAGATCAACCACCTCTAACATATCTAATTTTCTTTCTGGCTCCATGCCTAACAACCTGTTGTCTGAAAACAAAAGTGTTATAACATATCCAATTTTTCTTCTGGCTCCATGCCTAACGACCTGTTATCTGAAAACAAAAGTGTTATATAATAGTGGGTGACACAAATGTTATGGAAGTTAATTCTCGGGTGTATACAGCTTACACTGATTGCTTTAGTGGGTATGCTCTTGAATCACACCAGCAAACTTGGGCCTGGAAGCAACACAGCTCTCTTTCTGGTTGGCCTGTATAAAGGGAAATTGCGCACGAGAGTGATGAGAAATTAAAAGCATTTGTATATGTGGGTGTAGCCAAAGTTATGCAATCTTCGCAATGAGCAAGAAGGATGTTGAATTGTGTTAGTGGGGACCGAAAGTATGGGGTTATTTATGAGTGATAAATAAGAGGCAAATATCCTCATGTGTTATCTACCAGAGGAGGTTCAACTCATGATATGTGGGGCTTAACATTCCATAACCACCATCCGATTATGAGAGACATCGCAGTGGAGAGCTCCAGGAATTTCAACCACCTGGGGTTCGTTAAAGGGGCCCTGTGACACTATTTGAACATGTACTTTTCATTGGTTCTTTTGGTGCTGTGGAAGGCGCTGGTATCATTGCGCAAATGGCAACGCCGAAATCAATGCTGTTATTATATTAATTCACGGGACAAACTACCTTGATTTCAGACTACGGCAACACACATTGGCTATTTTTGTTATGGGAAGTGATGACAAGGTCCATTCGCTTTTTTTGGCTTGACAACAACAAACTAGCGTGCAACATTTATATGGTGGTAGATAGCCCATATCACTAAATGCTAAAAACAGCAAAACATTCATACACTTCCTCAGAGAGAAATCATTTCCGTTTCTTCAGAACAACGAACACAACACTTAGCCTGGGAAAGAGGCTATGGTACACCAGCAACTAAAGGTGGAAACGCATGCCGCGTTTTCAGCAAGCCAAAAATGTGACAGGAGGTGGGCGCCGACGTTGCCGTAGAGCGCGTCTTGCAAGCAAGCTGAGAATTGACCCTGCCCAAAGCGTATGTGTGTATCTCCAAAGCGTATGTGTGTATCTCCAAAGTTTCGTTAAGTGACTACTGTACATACGCACCACCTCTTCTTGTCCACATCATCCCCCTTCATCCCTCTTTCCTTCTCCTTTCCCTTATCCCCTGTGTAGAGTAGCAGGCTAGAGCGAACTAGCTCAGGCCAATCTCTCTGCCTTTTAATAAATTCGCACTTTCTCTCACTCCAAAGTTTCACCATGAGAGCGTCTACTAGCCGATGCACAAGTTCGTAGTAACCATGCTAACGTCGCCATCAAAAAGAGTGGTAGTGAGGTATTGTCGAAAGGCCACCATGAGGTGATATTTCCAGTATGTCTTTCAAATGCACGCTGCGATTGGAAGCGGTCTTTGACGTCAGCAGGCAAGTGAAATGCGAAAGAATGTTTTTTCTCGTTGTCTCCTTGAGTTTTGAACTTTAGAGACTTATAACTTCACTTTCTGAGCGCCAATTTCTATAACTTTTGTTGCAGTAGTCTCTGTTACCATCGCTACATGCGTTCGGGTGCTAAATAAGGCTTTCACAAAAGTGTAACAGGGCCCCTTTAACGCGCACCCACATCTGAGCCTACAGCATTTTCGCCTCCGTCAAAAATTCAGCCGCCACAGCCAGGATTCGATACCACGATTGGCGGGCCAGTAGTCGAGTGCCTTAGCCCCTAGACCACCGCGGCGAGGCAGAGGAGCGTTAACTCGATCCATTGGCCTTGTCATTATAGTGCTCTGCGAGATAAAATGACAAAATTGGTCCTGGGCTGCTTCTAACTTTGCAACTCAAGTTTTTCCTAATTTGGTATGCACGTGACATGAGTAGTGCTTTGTGGTTAGCGACGAAGGAACTCTAATGATATGGCAGAATCGGCAAAAATGGTGGTCGTCTGCCGCGGTGGTCCTCGGCTGAAAGTCATGAGTTGAATACTGGCCGCGACGGTCGAACCTCGATAAAGGAGAAATTTTGCTAGTGAGGTCCGGGTACACGTAGCTATCCCCAAAAAACACGAAATGTCGTATAAACTTCACGAAACGTCTAGAAAGGTATGCGGACATCTAAGTATATTATTTGACATTGAATAAATGTTTTTCAAAGTAAATTTTTTAGAAGACGTTGAGAAAACAATCTTTACAAGAAGTCTTTTTCAAAACACTACTAAAATTATGTTCTAGAACTTGGGTAGAATTTGCGGATGAGATCTCGGGGGTGTTTTGCACGTTTCTCTTTTTTTTTTTGAACCAAAATAGCATTCGCTCTACATATTTATGTAGTATATATTTTTACATATTTTTTGCAATTCAAATGTAATAATTGAGCTCTCTAGTCAGCATTAAGAAACTAAGATGCGCAAACGCTGTGTGCATCTGCGCGGCTAGAAAAATTTTACTTGTCTGGCATGCTTACCGGCCGCTCAGTCGCCTCTTGAAGAAGCGGGTTCGAGTCGGTTTCTCTCGTGTTTTAATAGTGTGCTTGCGCTTTGTGTTCGTGTTTTGTGTTCTGCCAGTGCTGCTGATTACGAAGATGTGCTATACTCAAGCGAAGACATGTGGGTTCGTATCATGGAGCACTCGCCAAGGTATGTACCACACTGCTGCTGTCGGCGCTTTGCTATCATTCACCATATTTTTCCTACCATGTGCACGATAAGTGAGCTTTTGTTTACATGGGGACCCAGCTTTTCTGTAGTACTTTAGCAGTGTAAAGGCAAAGTAGTGTGAAGTTAAGCGCGGACAAGTTTTTTCTTTTGTGTGGAGAGTGAAGCTTGCATGTGTTGCGGGAATTCGGCGGCAGGTTCGAGCAGAGTTGTGGCAGCTGTTCGCCTATGTTGGCAGGGGTGTTGGAAGGGGGCCCTGCTCGCGAGCAACCATTTTTGTTTATTAATTCTGGGGCGATTGTTAGCTGTAGGCGGTGATGCCTGTTCATATTGTGTGCTATTGAAGTGAACGTGTCTAAGGCAGTTTTATCTGCTGTAAGTTCCATTTTATACAGCTACAGTATTTATATGTTATGACTAATATCAGAGAAGTTTTGGCAAGGTTCTGTTTGGCGTCTCTCAATTTTTTCCTTGCGAGTGGCCGAACGTATGCCGGTGTGTGCATCCGCACCGGCACGCGTCTTAAAAACTACCATGATACTCGAGTTGATGCGTGTTCGTGTGCAGCGTGTTGCATCGTCTTAGGTAGGGTTCGCAAAGGTTGCACCAACACTTAAGTATTCATGCAGCTCATTTAGTAAAATTCTAACTTTCGGTATACACCAGCAACATAGGTTGCCTAATGCGGCCTGAATCCGTGCATTTTAAGCCATTCGTTTATCCTGAACCATATTTTCAAACGAATATTTCATGCCTAAATGTGGCCAAATTGCTTTACCTTACTGTGTGAGCACTAATTCAGTCATAAGCCCATGCGTTCGAACATCATCGATTTTACTCTGCTTGTTTCCACCATGCTTGTATTTTGATTTGGTTTATTAAATATTTTATGCACCTCGCCCAACCTTGGTGTTGAAACTTTGCTGAACACTTTTACGTGTATGAAAATTAAGAACAGTTTATAGCACTACCTCAAATGAAATTTTCTGATCAACGACAAGTTAACTGTATATTGGATAAAGTAAACTTTCTAGGCATGCGCTACAGGTGTTGACAGAATCTGTGGTCTGTGCAGAATTAATATTTTATTTATCACTCAAAACTCGCAATAATGTTATAAATCATCGTGAAGCATGCATAAGTCATGCACATATGGCTGTTAAAATGTAGAATTGGGCACCGTATTTATTTGAGAATAATAAATATAGACTGCAAGTTTTCAAGCTATTGGCATTGAAGGAATTACACAAATTCGGAAATCGGTTTCATCAGATCTTATTGCTAGATCGCGGTCAATAGCTTCCAAGATTCTGGTTCCCAGAGAAGGTTGCAGAAGCTTGCATGCTTTATTGGAATGGTGTGTGATTCAAGATGCGTGCCTCATATGGGTTTTTTTTTTTTTTTTTGCATTGACAGCCTGTGGTGCCATTTTAGCCAACCAGAATGATTGAAACTGATGACCATAATTCGGCAGTACACAATAGGAACTTATTGACACCAATTGACGACATTATAGGTATAATTGCTCTAGTGCGAGCAGCCTGGAAAAAGCTACATAAGTTGTATTGGAAATCAAATTCATGTTCAATAATATAGGTTACCTGCAGTGGATACTTGATGAAAGTGCATACCATCATGTGTTGAGGTATCATTGAATTTGCTTTTAACGCACTATGCACGAGCGCAATTCAAGCATGGTTTTGACACATCTGCGATGTGGAAATTGCATCTTCTTTCATAAGGTTGCAACTGTGTTCGCCAAAAACATCAAGACAGTTGTGCTTGTAGCATCTTTAGTTTGTTTACATCCTGCTTGTTTTAAGACACATAGTTAGAAATCATTTTAAATATACTGACAAATTCAGTTTTCTAAGAGACACATGTCCCTAAATTGTTTTTTTGGTGTTTCCATTGCAGCCTATGCATGCACTTCGTACAAACTGAGTGTGAAAGAATTCCGGGCAAACCTGTCATCAATGATGACTCGTGGAAAAGTTGGCTACTGAATGTACAGCAGCTGCGCATGAGGTCTGTTTCCTATGGAAAGGGAACTTCCCTGAGCCACCTGGTTGCTGTATTCAAGTAGCTTGCATGTTCATGATGTTGAATATTAAGCCTTTTGTTTTTCTTTAAAAAAGTCAGTGCTGTAAGTTGTGTGTGTAAAAGCCACCTTTGCAGATAGCTAAGTGCTCAGGGGTACACAATGTGCAACAATAAGTATAAGTGTCAGTCGTGCCATTGAATAAGATTCAATAATGAACTTATTAGTGACTGCAGCAGGTGGCCATGCACGAATTAAAATTTCGAGCCAGTCACATTTATACATAGGTCCAAAGAATTCTGGCATGCCTCTGCTCACATATCCCGCTGGAAAGTATAGTTGAGGCTTTTGTATGATTTTGCATGCAGGACAGCGAGCACTAGCACACAGCTACTACTCCCTGAGGTGCTGCATATAATCTGATCATGGATCGCAGCCATAGACTAGCATTATATTGGTTACCTTTACTACCGGCTGGAATAACAAGCACTGACTGCTTGTCTCACCAGGGAGTAATGTTTTGGTGATCCTCGCTGCCTTGCATGCGTAATCATGGAAAGCACAATAAACTTCCCGAGTGGAATATCTTGAGCACAGACATGCTAGAAGAATTTTTCCAAGTGGGAGTGTCTAGAAAAATGACTGCCACTAACTGTTCTATGCAAACATACCCACTTATTGAAGGCACCAAAATTTCGGTATTCTTAGTTGATTGGGCAGCTGACAGCATTATTGTCTTACTTTGTGTTCCCCTGGACACATAACTCATATGCAAAAGCAGTTTTCTGGTCTTAAGGCTGAATATTATACAAGCACAAAGCACGTCTCTGAATAGGTCGGTGCTGCTTTCTAAGGTTTTATGTCATGTTTAATTTATGTGTAATCTGCAGTTCACTTAATATTGAACTTTTTGCACTGCAATAAGGCTGTAGCAGATCAATGGTTTTAATTTCACTGTAATATTGACTGAATATTTTGTTTTATTGTTACTGTAACCTTACTGCACTGTCTTCTCAAATTTAATGCTGTAAGTGCAATCAAGTGATTTTCTATTGTCACACTTAATCCTACCTAGCTTTGCCAGTACCTAACCATTTGTGATATATTAGTGATACCTAAAAATGTTTATCATTGTTAATGATGACAGACAGAAGGCATTCTGGAATACTGTAGCATTTTTATCTTCACTGTGTCTTTTGCACGAGTATTTTGGGATGGAATTAGAATTCGGGGTGCTGCTAAAACCACAATTTGATTGCTAAACACAGATTTGTGGTCAAACCCATTAATTTCAACTACTCATGTTTCTAAGACACCTAAATTTAGGAGTGTCAAAAAATCAATTGTTCGACTGCTGCTTTTTAGCTGTAACAAATTTTCTACCTTTGTATATTTGTTACTGGGCCAATGTGTTTGCTAAACTAGCCTTTTAAATTTCGTTGCACTGATAGAAGTCAGCTCGAAGAGAACAGTTTGTGCCTTTTATATGTGTGCAGGTTCCTGGACCAAGCATCTGGCCATCCCCTCAATCGCTTTGTATAATTATAGTTACTATAAATCATGCCAGTTTTGGGACAAAGTGTGCAGTCATTGTTATGTTTAATAAAGGTTACAAGTATGCAACAAGATTTGTTGAAATTTTGCATTTACTTGTAGATGTGTAGTATAATGCATTCCAGGCAACACCAGAAACAATAATGAGTTGACGTTAAAAAGCCCGTCTTGTCTCCAAGCAAAACAGATTATCATAATGATGGATGGCAGTCACTAATTAATTCAACAATTATTGCACCAATTTGCTGATTAGAATAGTGCCAGCAATAATTTGTTGCCAAATTATGTTGCTGTTCCTACTTGACACTCTCGACAGTGAACAGCTAAATGCACAGATTATAAAACGCTGAAATGGTGCAGCAAATTAACCATGGGAAACGCTGGTTTGCATGAAAAATAAATGTCTAAAAAAGGTGTTAAAAGATCTAGCAAGGTCTTTTTAGAATCTAGAATCTTGGCAAGAAGTTTATTAGGCTTCTGAAAAAAAAAGTATAGTAAACGTTTACAAAGGTTCTTTAAAAAATTTAGAAAGACGTTTTTTAGACTTCTTGCTAGAAGTTTTCTAGCCGTATAATAACCTGGCGTTAGCACAGCTACAGGAGGTTTTCAAGCTGTTTAGGTTTAAATAACGTCTCAACAAGACTTCTCATATACTTTTGAGCGATCCTTTTCAGACATTCACTAGAAGTTTTTTAGCTTTTCTTGTGTTTCGTGGGATGTTAGAGCACGAACACAAAATGCTGGAATTGCCGAAGCACGGCGAAGTAACCACATGTCCAGAAATAGTACGGTCTATTTGAGCCTTTCTCGGCCCGCCCTAAGCGACAGTAAAACAGCTGCAGCAGCGAGGTCTAGCGCAACCACATTCGCGTGAACATAGAGGAGGTTATGGAACAACATGAACACTACGAGCAACCACGGTCTCCCCAAGAACCCAAGGGCGATGCAGACCAGCTGACACTACGCCACGGACTTGTGCAATGGTTGAAAGAAAGTAACCAATTAACTATAGATTTGAGTTAGACATGTACTTCAGTGGAACGTCAGCTCGTACGCTCAAAGCAACCATTTTCAAGGCTTTGAGATGGTTGCAATAAGTGTTTTCTAAACAGCTTCATTGCTTGGACAAAACCACAAGTGCTGCCACCTCTTCAAGCGCACCAAGCAAAAGCTTTCCCTCCTCAGCTGCACGACCCGATAGACCCACTCACCGCAGAGATCTGGAAGATGCGCTGCCTTTTCCAGAATTGCCTGGCACCGCTTTTTACCTTGCGCCCAAAGTTCACTGCGCTAAGAAAAACCATGGCGGCAGTAGTAACGAGACTATGCTTCACACGTGCGCAGCGCAACTGCCGAGCATTCCGCGTCCAGTATTAAACCACGACGACGATGATGATGATACTGAAGCACTGCTCATAGAGAAATGCACTGGTCTTTGAATCGGGCCGGGTAGGTGTTTTGTGGCCGGATCACCAAAACTCCCAAACCATCGTCATGGCTGCGTACTACGTCACAGAGCAACTACGCGTTACCACAGAAGTGTGGCAGCTTGGGCTAGTTGGTATGGCATGACGATAGTTATAGCGCGAGAACAAAACGACGACACAGAGACAAGAAGGACACGAAACACACGAGCGCTAACTTCCAACAGAGAGTTCCAACAGAGAGTTGGAAGTTAGCGCTCGTGTCTTTCGTGTCCTTATTGTCTCTGTGTCGTCGTTTTGTTCTCGCGCTATAACTATCGTCATACCGCAGAACACCTATACACTGCCATTACGTCCTCAACAAAAAGGTCGCTCCGTTATAGATTGTCAAACATAGTGTTTTACCAACACCACTGTGACTGCAGAAAACATTGCAGTCGATGATGATGATGATGATTAAAGGCCTCCCCTTTGAATCGGGGTGACGGCATGCGCCGTCTAGCCTACCTCTAGTCTGTCTCCGACTGCAGTGCCACCGTGGTGGAATTACGATTCGGACTTGGAGTGGGGTGAGCCAGCTGTTTTCACACCTTTCCCTCTTTGCTGTTTACCAGGGGCAACAACGAAAACAACCTCGCAAGCAGTTGACTGTGGTTCTCACTATAACTATAGTCAAAGCTACCTCTCGTTGTAGTGAAAGACGCGAACGTTCACTTCACGATGACGGACGATCCGTTCAAGTGCCTGCTCGGAGAAATCTCCGAAGACCAATGGCAGGCGTACAAGGCGCTTAGGAAACATGTGAGTGTGTCGTGTGAGCGCGCGTACTCGCCGGTATTTTTTCAATCTGTCCGGGTTTCATTGGCTGAAACACGCTTGTCGCGCGTCCTGAAAACCTTCTCGAGAGTTTTTTTTTTCTTTTTGCATTGAAAATACACCAAGGACTCCACAGGGTTTTACATGAGAAGTGTGACTCAACGGAGTTGTTGAAGTGAGCGTGGTTGACGTGAAGGACGATGTCTGAGAGAATATTGTTCCAGTCGATGGCAGTCTTGTGGAACTGCACAGCGCAATCTGGTATCTCGCCAGTTAGAGGTCACTTATACCAGATTGCGCTGTGCAGTTCCACAACTAAATTATTACCTTAATAAAGCTCGGCTCAAGGCGTCACCGCTATGCATTTGGTGCAACGAAATTGAAACAATTGAACATTTCTTTTTATTCTGTCATCGTTATTCTTATCAGAGAAAAAGATTTTTAGTAGCCCCATTACAAAAGCTAGAAATACAAGTAAATCTACCTACTCATTTTATCACTTGGCGGAACTTCATTTGGTTATTGCCACAGGGATGTATGCTCCGCTGTGTTTGATTACATCAACGCAACTAAAAGATTACCATGCTAGTGAACCCCTACCTTTTCAGATCTTTAGTTTATAATTCGTAGTTATGTCTTTCAGAAACAAAACATGGTTTGACCGCTTGCTCAGCAAACATTTTTGCTTTTTGGTAGTAATATTTTAAGCTACTTTTTCAGATTGGCTTCATTTTCAATTTAGTTTCATTTAAGTATCCTGCCGCCCGGTTCTTGGCCCAACCCCCTCTGTAGGTAAGCGCCATCCATCAGAGGTCATGAGCATCAGCATCAGTCTTGACAAAAAAGGATTGCATATGCGTGGCGGTGTGGGCACGGGTATGGTATACGGCTTTATCACGGCTGACGGGTTGCGAGATGCGATGAGCAGGATATTTATTTATTTTTATTTTAACAGTCTTCAGCCAGGCTATCGCAGGAGTGGATGCAGAATACGAAACAAATTGAAATACAAGGCAAGAGGTACAGAGAATGAAGATCAGTGATTAGTGATGTACAAAATGAATTCATTACGTGATAAAGATTTAACACGGCCGGGCAACACATTCTATAATTCAATGGTGCCGACAAAAAAACTGTATTAAAAACCATTTGTTCGGTGATTAAAAGGAGACATGTTCAAATCATGATGATATCTAGTGTAAGTTGGTTTTGCACGTGTGATGTAGTCGCTGAATGAAGGGAATCGTGGACTGTGAATGAGTACGTAAAAGAACTTCAACGATTCGACATGACGAAAAGAGAGAGTAGTAAGCTGAAGTCTGTGAGGATGAGAACTAGGTGAAAAATACCTGTCGTACTCAAGTATTGGGTGAATTAAGGTTTGATAAGTCAGGAGCCTTATGTTAGTTGGGGCCAAACGTAGAGTACGTTGTAGGTACCCCAGTGTTCTAAGGACACGATTACACATTACTTCAATGTGATGTGACCAAGACAGATCCTAAGTAAATAAAAGGCCTAAATATTTGTATTGAGACACATTTTTCAGAGGTGCACCACGAAACCAATAAACAGAAGAAGAGAAAAATGAGCATTCAGTAAATAACATGGAGACAGTTTTACGGAGGGTAATTTGTATCTGCCAATTGTCACACCATGTTTGGATTGATGCAAATGATAATCATTAAGAATGATGTGATCTTTGGAGGTTTTAATCGTATGGTACAAGGTGCAGTCGTCAGTGTACATGTGAATTTTAATGGGAATATTATGTGGTAAATCATTTATGTAAACTAGAAAAACTAGAGAGCCTAGTATGGAGCCTTGAGGCCCGCCGGAAGTTACACTGGAAACAGATGATTGAAAAGACTTAAATTGTACGTACTGAAACCGATACGAAAGAAAAGAAGAAATCCAATTATTTAATGCTTGATTGTTCGGGATGACAGAGAGCTTTTTTAGTAGTTTACAGTGCGATACAGTGTTGAACGCCTTTGAAAAATCAATGAAGATTGCGTTGATTTGGTCGCGTACATCGAGAGCTGCGACGATATCATGAGTGAATTCACTGAGTTGGGTTAGGGTGCTGTGACTACGTCGCAAGCCATGCTGAGCATCGCATAAAGTGTTATTTGACTCCAGAATTTCAATGATGTGTTTGTATATTATGTGTTCGAGAATTTTGCATGAGTGAGATTTAAGAGAAATCAGTCTATAATTCAGTAATAACTGTTTGTTTCCAGGCTTAAATGGAGGGAGAATTTTAGCGGACTTCCACAATTGAGGAACATTCAAAGTTAAAAGAGATTTTTGAAAAATGATAGTTAAATAGCGACTAGTTCATAATGAATATCTAGTGAAGAATGCATTATCCATATTGTCTGGACTACCTTTCTTTTTGGAATCTAATTTTAAAATCAGGTTCAGTACTCCCTGATTTGGAACAAAAATAATTGAACTATAAGACTGTTGTGAACAAGGAGGAACGACGTAGTTGTGATGGGTGAAAACAGATGTAAAATAGATGTTAAATGCATTAGCAATCACCGTAGAATCTCTCGTAACTGTTTCATTCATCTCGAAAAAATCGGTTATATGTTCTTTCGGTATGACAGCGCTCCAAAACTTTTTAGGGTTATTGCTTAGCAGTGCTGGAAGTGTTATTTGGAAGTAAAGATCACGAGCTCTATTAACTTTCCTACGAAGTTCTTCCTCCGTAAAAATAAGTTGAGCCGTATGAACGGCAACATCAGCATGTTTAGCTCGCCACAAAAGACGGGGTCGTCGCGACAGATACGATATTTCTCGAGTGATTTTTGGTAGTTCTGGCAAACTCGCAAGACACAACTTAACAAGGTCACCGAAAAATTTCGTTAGAGCATTAATATCATCAGAGAGACTAATTTCAAAACTGGCGGAAGGAAGAACTAAGTGTATCTATGATGGAAATATCATCCGTGTGGTGAATGCCATGAAAAATAGTGTACATATATTTTATTTAGGAACAGGACAAGAAATGAATGTGAATACTGCCTTATGATCCGATATCCCGTCCACTACAGTGCACTCATACCCACAATCGTAGACGCGAGAGCTAAGAAAGAATAGGTCTAAAATCGCCTTACCTCTTGTGGCATCTCCGACTATTTGTTACGCAAAACATGAAAAAAACTTATGAAAGAGTGAAAGCCTTGCCATTTTTCTGTGCATCTGAAGACTAGGCAGACCTGCCTTTTTCTTAAAGTTGGTTACACTAGTAGTGTAAGAATAATCAGCAGAACTCAATCTAACAGAGCGGTTTTGTATGTATTCTATTAGATTGGTTAGAACGTGCTCATGGGGGATGCCAGACAGAATAAGCATACTCTAATACGTGGCTTGCGCAAACGTCACTCGATGTCATTGCTCGGAGCGAGTTGGCCTTATTGGTGAACAGCGATTAGACCTCGTGCAGCACTGCCTCGCTGTACCATCGAGTTTCGTCCTCCGCTGTGGTTATATGTGCAGTTGTATATACTGCTATATTCGTGGCGACAGCTGCAGAAGAAAGAATTAAGCAGCCCACAAGTAGGAATTTTCGAATACCAAGTTTTAATAAAAGCTAGTGCAAGCGTACAGAAGTGCTCAGCACCAACCATCAGAGATCCTGGTTAGCGCACATAATGTGTGCAAACTTCAATGAAGAAAACTCCAATGTTCATGTGTGTGAAGCACGTTTTGTATCAGGCAAGTAAAAAAGAGAGGAGATATGAGGACACTTGTTACCACGGATACTCTTCCTTGTGTTCGTAGAAAAGCCGTCCGTATTTGAGACGAGACGAACCGATATGGTGTGCCGTCTCTATGACTCAACTGCATCTTCAAGCATGCAAGCATTGTACAACATGAGCGCGCAGTTAACAGCATCACAAAAAGCAGAAAGCGGAGGCCAAACGGCGCCGAGCACAGGCACAGGCCAATGCATGTCGATGAAGCCAAACCCAACTCACTTTTGATGGCAGTCTGCATACAGGGACCAAACCCTCAGTACTTGAGAACATACACGTGCTATATACTCCATGTTTATGTAAAACCAAATGGACAGTCAAGGAGACGTGTGATTGGAAAATGCGCTGCCGTGTCAGTGGTTCGCTTCACTCGCATGAGAACTCAGCATTAACATTCCTTGAAAAGCGCTCGTGCATTGCTATATGGTATCCTGGCCTGGGCTGGCAATTCGATGAGTGCTGTTTCTTGGGCGAGTTAGAAATTCATAGCTTAATATAATAATTGGGGCGCAAGGAGACAGGATAGGGCGCCAGGTCTGGCGCCCTATTCTGATTCTTCTGTTGTTTTTTTGCTTGTGTGAGTTGCACCACAGTTATTATGTTTAGCAATTTGATGAACCATTAAACTCACCTCTGAAAGCATGATCAAACTTGCAGTCACGAAGCACCTTTGCTGAGTGGCTCTTTACACGGCCGCTGGTAAAGCAGTTGTGCTGATTCCATTAACTTGTAAACATTTATTTCGCCTGGAGTAACAAAGTTAGGGCTGAAAACTAAAAAGCTCACTATGTTTTTGTGCGACACTTCTAAGAAGGTGGAGATGTTCGAAGTCGTGTCCGTAGTGCCCGTTCTGAGTCAAAGCGTGTAGGGATCCACTCCATCACACAACTGCATCTTTTCTTCGCAGCGAGACCACCCTTGCCTTATCAGTTCTGAATAGCGCACTGCATTTAATGGCTGCCTTGTGCCAACTGGTGGCATATGCCTGACACTGCACCGTGGCAAAGCTCCGTCGTTCTGAACAATGCAGTCTTCCGGCTGGTATGTACGTACCATCCGTGTGGCTGTTCACCAATATGGCTACCGCAATGGTGACGTCACGTGCAAGCCATGGATTTGGGTCGGATTAGAGTCTTGTAAGCAAGTACTTTTACTGGAGGAGATGCATGTGTTATATTTTGCTAAATATAGCCTAAAGTACGGTTAGTGGCGTATATTAGT